GCACACATCTTCAAATGGCCAAGGTTGAGAAACACTGACCTATGTTCTGTGAATACCACCATGTGCCCCATGAACCACATGGCTTTCAGCCATTAGTTAAGGAAGGACTGAGATCATAGAATGAGGGCTGGGATGTTCCAAATGTGTTTGTAGCTGTGAATCATTGGTGTGAGTGGATTTCCCAAGACTTTGCTAATTTCATTTTGCATGATCATGGCAGCTCTCCCCAGTAAATGTGCCTGACAAGAACTACCACAGATATGTGCCCTGAACTAAAACCACAACATACTTGGGAGATTTGCTTCTCTGGATCTCCTTCTGATGGTGAAAGCCGAAGAGTGTGCCGTTTCAGGGCACAGTTCTTATTGTTGGTTCCTGCGTGCGGAGCCAAAAAGCGGAGTAGTTGAATAAACCCAAATGGTCAAACACTCATATGATCCTCCCGGGCTCAGACTTACAGCTTGTTGGGACATAAAGGGGTCATCCTCACCATGCATGTTTTGCATATTGCAGGAAGGTGCATAATAGATCAAGAGAACTAACACAAGTGGATCCTGCACAGACCTAGCAATGCCATGTCCACGTGATTCCTTCCAAGCCTATTTTACTCCTTGGCTGGTGATCAGAGGGCAAGAATGAAGGAGAGACTCTCATTTTTTTTACTGGCCTTACATGCCTGCCACTCTCAGCTTTTTAAGTGCATTGGAGTCACACCTCCCCAAAGTCCAAACTTCCGGCCAAACTATTTGGGAATCCTGGGAACTGTTATGCGTTCTCCAAAACAGAAGAGCAGTTTTACACCTTTAGCATCAGTGTGGTGGTCAGAGACCTAGGAAGCGAAGTGTCCTGGCCTAGAAGTTAAATGGATATCAGAGCTAAAACATATTCCTGGAATTCCTGCCCGAGACCTGTTTTTACAGAGTCCAGGCTCGCCCACATAGTCTTCCTGCTTGTGGTTTCTTGATGGCACGCCTTGATAACATAGCCACCATCTTTATGCCAGCCATCTGAGGAAGGCTGAGGCTGATCCAACATCTTCTGGCAGGAAAGAGATGCATTCCTAGGCAGAATACAATCCACAGCTCATGGAGGGAGTTGCGATGTGCTGGGCTCCAGGTGGCTTAGCAGGTCTATTATGGGACTGTCCCTCCTGAGCAACCACTGGGCATGTGGCAAGAGACTGGACCCCTTTCTTCCATAGCTTTTTTCTTCTTGGGAGGCAGAGATGGAAATATTGACCTCATGTGAGATGAAATGAAGATCCACCAGGAGGTCAATATTCCCACTGGTAATCAATCAATCAGTCCATCGATAACAGAAGTGTGCTTTCTTCTGAATACAATATGTGAGTTGCAGAGGCCATTTGAGAAAGATTTTCCTTTATGAACACGGCCAAGAACAAGGCCTTCGAGTTCCATGGGAAGTTCATCATATTCATTTATCATGAGACTATTCAGAAGAGGAGGCCATTAACAGATGTTGGTGGAACTGTGCAAGCAATCTGAACAGATGTCTCCAGCTCGTTCAGCAAAAGGGCCCTTCGACCTTGTTATTAAGCCAGTGACATAGATCAGTAACCTGCTAGAGCAGTGTAATTACCCCCATGGGAGTCATCTGGGCATATCATGGGGGTAACACAGCTATTTGCTTTCTTGTGGGTCAAGGATCCAGTTTGGGGCTGCCACTGCTGAGACACGTGTGTAAAATAACAGAGACTGGGTTGTTTTGGGACATTATTCAAGACCAGGAAGAGGGGTATTTGGGTCAACCAGTTTGAGAGTCTCTTCCTTCTCCACTTGCTAATCAGAAACCAGGCCATGAAGTGAACCTGCAGGAAGGGGGTCCTCCTAGAAAGGTGGGGTCTGACACACCTGCCCAGATGTCCTTCATTTGTGTTCAGGAGAACGATTGGCAGTGACGCAGGGTGGGAAGGCAAAGGGGAAAAGAAGGCAGAAACCCACCAGGGTTGCCCTAAAACGCTCCAAGCCATGGTCTACGGGGCAGCAGCTGGCCCCGTTGCTGAGGTGCAGTCAAAGTGGAGTGGAGGACGCAGTACTTTTATACCGGTTCCCGTCCTCCTTTCTCAAGGATGAGAGCAGAAGTGCCTGCAGAGGACAGTCAGAAAAAGTCAAGAAGGGTCCACAATGGGAGAGACCCAGTTTCAAGTCCACCTTTGACCATAGAAACTCAATGGTTCAGTCACTTTCTGTTATCTAACCTAACCTGCAGGTTGTTGTTACAGTTACCTAGCCGGGTAATGAAACGTTTGCAAGAGAAGAACCAAGCTCAGAGAACCCCAAGGACTCCACAATTAAGGGAGATCCCCATGTAAGACTCCTCGAGTCCCTGAAGAAAATGCAGGATAAAAATCTAAGAAATCACAACAAAAGTCCTTCCTTCTCGGAGATGTGAAGGGTGCTACTCCTGCTGTGCTTGCTTTCTGAGACACAACTCTGCGTGATTCTACAGCCTCCCTGGCTATCCATAGTCTAAAACAATCCCTCCTGATTTATTTCCCTTAGGAATTAATACTCATGTGGAAACCAGGGAGGCTGCAAATCGTTGGAGAAAGGATGGTACCATGAACGGTAGGGCACCAGAGTCCCAAAAAAGAACTAAAACACTAATGTTCCACTCGTGAGAATTTCTCCCAAATACCCGTCGCCCTTGCAAGAATTTCTGAAGCAAAATTCTCTTTCATCACTCTGGATGAGAGCCGAGCGGGATAATTTCTCCAGCCACCGCTAGTATTACCTGCATTCTGGTTTCAATGCAGTGGAGCTTCTAGAGTTGAAAGGGCTTTTCATCAACGACCAACTGGACTTTTTATCTGCCTGAGATAGCAGTTGGCCCCTGGTGCACACTGAGCAATTATTACTAAATCAGGAAGAAAGGTAGAACGAGGCATTCTGGGAAGACCACATCATCAATCACGACAAGTGGGGGGACCGACTTGTTTACGGCGCTCGACTGTCCCTGGCTACGTTTGCTCAACCACCACGTTGACGCAACTGCTCCCAGTGACAAGGGCTGGGGCAACAGCCCAAACAAGGAAGTCACAAGAGCCGTACTTGCTTTTCCTCCTCTTCTTCAAGTGGCACCTCCCAGCTGACTTCCTGTGTGCCACACAAGCTGTGCACAAGGGAGTTGGCCAGGGCCCAACCCAGGGCTTTGTGAATCTCAGCATTAGCCGAAGAACAGGTGAAATTTTTCATCAAGTGTGCGTTTCCCTGGGACCTCTTGCACATGGTCCATGCAGTATTTGCTGGAGAAAGGATGATTTGTGGAAACCCAGCTTGACGCCCTTCCAGTGAGCTGAACTAGAGCCTCCAGCACCCAAGGCTGATGGCCATGCAGGCCAGGGTGGTAGGAGCTGTGATGCAGACCAATGGGGAGAGATTGCATCAGCCCAAGGCTTGTACTTAGCCACTTCTGAGACCAGAGATTGACAGATGCTAGATCCCAGCACCTAAAGATTTGGGGCATCGACAGGGGAACATTTGCAGTTCGGTGAAATTGTGGGGCGTCTCAAATTGTTGGCAAGACCCAGCAGGCACCGAGCATCTGTCTCTGTGACACCCCCTGTCTTGGCAGTTTTTCCTTTATCCTTTGGGAGGGTGTTTCTCAGCCTTGACAACTTTAAGATGGGTGGACTTCAGCTCCCAGAATTCCCCAGCCAGCCATGCTGGCTGG